CAATGTTGTCGGGTCAGGTTTGATATCAGCGGCCTTCAGGAAAAAAACACATCCATTCAGGTCTGTACATGTCAGGAGACCAATCAGCAACATTGAGCTTGGGGGGATACGGGGGGTTCAAGAATTCTTTTCATCCCTGACTTGATGGCTGTTTTTTTTGAAGAACCCGGTATCTATTAAGGGCAGGACGTAGTAGCCAGGAGTATTGGGTGGGGTGTGGTGGAGTTAATAACATTCACTTTGACTAGCACGTTTATCCGTCCTAGAGGCACAAATGAATGGACACAATCAGCTGAATTGGTCCCTCGCGGACTAATTGTGGGGACCAATTGTGGCTCTGGAGTAGGAAGTCTACATGACGCTCCATGTTGCTTTCTATTATATAATAATTGGTTGAGTCCCAATGACTTTCGAGACTATCTTTGGCACACAGTTCGCGGGATGGTGGAGAAGCAGGTCGCAAAGTCATAGAGATCTCTCTTCTGGCACAGCAAGTCGAACAAACAGCCGCTGGAGAAAAAGGATTTGTTGCAGCAGCTGCAACAGAACAGACTTGCGTTCTTTTGAGATCACGCGTTTCTACACCCCAACGCCCTTTTGGGATCCAAATCGTGCTTCACAAATGAAAGCCATCAGTTAGACTAACAGTTAGACTTGCCCACAAACAAACGGTTAGACTAACACTTAGACTACCCCAGCTCCTGCCCACAAAATGTTTCAGTTGGTGCGTAACGCCTCCGATGCGACGCCAAGCGGCAGCGCCATCATTCCCCTCACCCTTCCGAGATGCGGTGCTTTCGCCGCAGGAGCCGAGAGGCAAAAGATTGCAAAAGACTAGGCAACAGTTGGTGCATGTTGGTGCTTTGCACCACACAATATGATGTTCCCAAGGAAATCCGGGCCCTCAACCGGCCCCTGCCATGGAGAGCCCAAGGATTCTTAGGGTTCAACATGAACTGTTCCTCTATGCGCTGACTGGAGCGATGGTTTTCCAGTGGGCGACGGTCTGGGGAGAAGGAGGTGGATCTGAAGGGCGTTCGCAGTGTGTTCCCGGACAGCTGCTTTTGCAATGCGACTGTGTACACAGAATCAGAACAGCTCTGCCACGTGGAACAAACATGAAATCTCTGCTGCGACATGGTTTTCAAAACACTGAAGTCCATTCCATACATGATCTGGTGAGGGGGTTGGCACATCACCACCTCGTATGATTGGATGTGTTATGATTTTCTCAAGGACCGCAAGCAGCTGTTGTTCTTCTCTCGTTGCCGCCGCTGTCTTCTGAAAACCTTCACCGTGCTCGGCCGCCCGGGCCCACCTTCAGCAGCTTTCCCTCCTCGCCAAAGCGCAGCTTGGATCCATTCCCTTTGACACCCACATGACTGAGATCCGTGAAGGCGGCGAAGACCAAGGCGCGCGAGGACTCGGTGAAGCTGGGGATGTGGAACAGGCCATAGTTGTAGTGATCATCTTCGCCTGCAGTGGCTGCCGGAACCGCAGGCTGTGTGCCCCGGAAGTTGGAGAACAAGAAGGACCTCAAAACCACGGCGAGTTTGGGCGCCGCGGTCACCAGTTGGGGCGCGGCGCGTTCGTCCAAGACTGGCCAGTGGCAGCATGCCACCGGAAGCGCGATCTCCAAAAAGTGATCAGAATAGCCCACCAGGTGATGCACAAATTGATGCCAACATCATGTATATACTTCTCGTTGTTCAGTAGTAGTAAGCCGTAAACCGGTACTCCACAATCCGGGTTAGGGATTAAGTTGGAACAGACTAGATAAATAATGGATGAAAAAGCAAACATGTTTGCATAGCTAGAAGATCCCACATGTTCCCATGAAAATCTCCCTTTTAGACACGAACCGCCCGGAACCGCCGAGCACCCTCACAGCCGCGTTGCCAGATCCGTGTGCCTCGCTGACGATGACCTGGGAGATGTAGCGAAGGGTGTGGCCGAAACGGCCCGACACTGGGAGATCCTTTGGGAATGCCTGAGCTCGCTGGGAATGAGTTGCTCAGGCAACTCATTGATCAAAAAAACCGAGTCAATGAGTTGCCTGAGCTCGCTGGGAATGCCTGGGTTTCTTGACTCAGCTTCCACGATTGGGAGGCATGCTCGGGCAGACAGCGGCTTCTGACCAGGCCGCCACGTGAACAAGGTCTTCTAGTCGAAATGTCAAAAGTGTAGCGTTCTTAGTTTGGAGAGTGCAATGGTGTAATGACACCATGATTTTCTCTTGCATCCTCTCCCACAGCAGACTTCCAAAAGTCAACCATCTACTGTCCAAAAAAAACCTTTGACATGATTCTCACAAGAAAACACCTTACAGTGACCAACCCCCCCAAATGGCCGGGACCAGGGAGAAAAAAAACACACAAAAACGCCGCTTGAGTGACCCAATCTCCTTGTCGTTGGGTCCAAGAGGGCACGGGGGTGCCACCACGGCCGGTCTTGGCGAAATGCTTCTCGATTTCAGAAATCTTCGCATCCGCCATGCTTCCTTAGTAACAAGAAGCTTCTAGTAACAAGTGCCTTACTAGTAGTAACAAGGGCCTTACTACACAAGAAGCTATTAGGAACAAGTGCATCTTCTTTCCCATGCTTCCGGCGGACAGCTGAGTGCGGGCTGGGGCAGCGCTGTCTGAAGAAGCAATCGCTTGGGCCAGAGAGGCTGGATGGCAAGGAGCTGGACGTGTTTGCGCCTGATTGCCAAGTCCTATCAACACAAACGATCACTTGACTTGGAAGAGGAATCTCATGGAACTTCTTGCCGAGCGATGATGTGTTACTGATAAAATGGCACTGTCTGTCGGTCTGATCAACTGCAGGTGCTTAAGTTGAAGGGGGACTCATCTACCAGTGACACCAATGACATAGTTTTGTAGGCAATGCATAGCAAGAAAAACAGCAACAGTGCAAACAGGTATATAATAGATTACATTGCGAGACGTTATGCAACATTGCTAAGTGATCAAAGTGCTGGTGGACATGGCACAAATACCACCTTTGATGTTTGGCAACATTTGAAATTTGGCCATGCCAAACTTTAGTTTCTCCCAACTAGCCACGATTGAACCCCGAGGCCAACTCAACCAACATGCCCAACATGAGAGCTGCTGAAGACTCCAAGCAGCTCTCATGAAAAGGTCCAGACTAATGTCCAGTTTAGTGACCAGGGCATACGATCACGCCTGCTTCTGCTTCTTATCCCTGCGCTCGTCTTTTCCACTTGGCCACCAGTGCCCTTGGGGCACCAGTCACGCAATGGCACGGTCGGTTGGTCCAGCTGAGCTGGGCATGCCTTGAAGGACCCAGTCTGACTGGAGTGGGCCTGAGTCTGGGGGAGCTCTCAGTTTGATCCAGTTTGGATACGTTTGTGCACTCCCCATTTGAGGCACATCCAGCCGGGCTCTCACTCTAAAAACGCCCAAAGTCGCTACTTAGCTAAGTACGCATCCTGAACACCCTGCTCTCGCCGTTGGATTCAAGGACTCGAGCTTCGTGGTTTCCAGAACCTCACGTCCATTACGGACCAACCACTGGCAACTCCATGCAACACTCCGGCAAGATGTCCAGGTTGTCCACCCATACTAGCAATCTAAACGGTCTACACGTATATAATATAAGCCATACTCAACAAACATAACCGTGGAAGTCTCCGGTGGTAAGGCGGATCAAACACGATTCATGGCTGTGCATGGGCATGGCATGGGAAAAGGACCAGAAGAACACGGCATTGCATTGAGCGGCGTTGAGGCTCTGTGCCTCACTGTTTTGATGTTAGCATATAGAAAAAGCAACTTCTTGCAACTCTCACAGCCGCCACCAGCCCATGCCATGGAACATGGCACCTCGCGCCCCTAAGGAGCCATCGGTCTGACTCGGGAACTCAACTACCTTCTTGTGCTCCATGTCATGTGGAAGAATAGGCAGTCCATACCCCCCCGCTGCGGATCTCATGGCGCACCACACCACATCCCCCACGTAAGGTCCGCAGAACACATCAAATGGAAGTGGAGTTCACCCCCTGTTTGCAAAGGAAAGTCGTCTTCCAACTTCCAAGCAACCAGATTCACTTTCATGTTCGTGAGTCAGAGTGGAACCCGCAAAAGAACAATCACAAAACCAAACCTTGTCAGGTATTGGTTCCTGGCTAAGTCATGCTAAAATCGTCATCCATCCCCAACGTGCTGAAGTTTGCGCTTCAGCAATCCTTTTCACAACGGCTTCCCCATCCTGTGAGGTGCTTCATAGACCGCACTCCAGTCATTCCAAGCAGCATCATTCCAATCATTCCCATCGACCTTGACGGAAGTGTGGCAATATAAAACACAGAAATATCACGTGGGGCACCCAAATCATACTTTAAAAGATCCAGATTCCAATGGAGGACGGTTTCCCGTTTCCAATACATCCCAAGGGGATTCACCGTTCGAATCTGTTCGATCGACTTTGGAACGTTTCATGGTGCCACACGAGGGCCCCACGAGAAAGTTGGCCTCCAAAGAAACCACCGTCACACAGTCTGACCCCCTGGCACACCCACAGCAGAAAACAGCTGGACTGCGCATGACATGTGTTACTATCTACTACTATCTCTCTCTCTATATGTATAAGTACATACCCACCTGAGGAAGAAACTCTCCCCTGCCCGAGGCCTATACTCCAAAAAAAACCGTTGTTCAGCTCTCTCTTTCTTTCCCTTGCAACTTCAGGAAGTCCTCTGAAGTCAGTTGACTCACTTCTCACCTTATCACCTTGTTTGCCCAGCATCGCAGAAACCCCACTCCCCCGGCAACGCCCAACCGGGCGCCTTCAGCACCGTGTCGTTGTCGCCGAAGCGGAGCGCTTGGCCGGGCCCTTTGCATCCCACATGGCTCAAGTCGGTCCAATGAGCCGTCAGCAAGGCCGGTCCGCCCTGCCAGGTCGGAACATGGAAAAGACCATAGGAGAAGTGATCGTCCTCACCTTGGTGACGTGAAGAGAGAGATGGTATGCGAGAGACTTGTGGTGTAATATATATATATATATTGCGGAGATCCTGCCCTCCCCTGAGGGCAACAAACGGGCGCTTCTTTTCCTTGAGGCGAAGTTCCCTGCGGTCACGGGTGGACGTCAAGACTCATAACTATCTCTAAAGAAAAATCGACCTGGATATCTGCTTTCGAGCTTATAGTCTTCGGGAGTGGTCGACTTTCACGTGTTCTTGCTTCAGCCATCTCGTGTCACCGATGCCTTCTCATGAGGAGCCCTTCAAGCGTCGAGGAACGCTGGAATCCGGATAGGAGCTTGCACTGCCTTCATGTTCAGCCTGGAAGCGGAGCAGGTAGTTAATCAAGTCCTTCATCAAAGGGCTGAAATTCTCTCGGCCCTTCTGACTGCGCAACCATCGCTGGTAATTGAGCAGCTCAGAGTCAACACTGGTGGCGAGTTCTTCGTAGGTGATTCCTCTCTTTGCCAGCTTGCCATAGTCGATGATCGTACGGCCCCACATCTCCATTGATGTGACTCCTGCCGGCAGAGGATGCTCATAGCCATGACTCTGGGCACCCTTGGCGGATGTCTTTGGAATTGGCATCTGGCGAGTGAGGGCCGGGCTTTCCGACGGAATGGGACCCTCAGTCAACCGACGCTTTGGTGCGTCAGTCATCGCACCATGCTCCTGCTCAATCTCTTCATGCACAAACTCAAATCCTTCTTGCTCCAAAGCCAGCTCTTTCAAGAGGGCTGAAGTGCCACCTTCTTCACGAACACGGTGCAACAACTCTAAGGCGGTGGATGAAAGCTGCGGTGACGAACCGGCCATATTGGTCAGGAGGAAACTGACGCACGAACACACCTTCGATTTGGTCCTGATCCGTCTCAGGAAGGAAAAAAGGCTGCAGAGTACAACATAAACAACTGTGGCTTGCAAACCTACAGGCAACAATGCAAACACACTTCAGTGTGCAACCCACTGCATTGAAAGACAAACAGATCCCGAGACCCCTTAATTCAAGCAAAAATTGCACTTGTCCATTCAAGTGCTCTGACTCTCCGGGGAACTCGACTTCTTGAGGCCTTGCAAGTTCTTTCTAGACGCTTTCTCTTGGGCTTGATGTTCAAGGACTGTTTCCTCGGGTGAGATCTGGTATGAGGATCGTTTGATACAAGCTCTCAACAAATCAATCGGGTCACCATCATTCTTAGTGAGTCCATCGGCAAGCATTCTATTTGTTGGTACCCATCTTACGAAGGCCGACATGGCTTTACAGCTTTCTCTAATGATAACTACATCGATACTTGTACGACGGTCCTCGATCGAAGTCGGCGACGAGGGCGAGTGCAGATGGTCATACAGACTCTTGCAGTCTGTCACGACGATTGGTTTTCGTCGCTGGAGCACGTCTCTACACGGTCTTATGGTGAGCGGGCCGTCAAAAATCTCAGCAAGCATCAGCAGTACCCATTCCAGAGTACCGGTGGCCACAGCAAGCGCCTGACTTTCGGCAGCCAAGGTGCTACTCACAGCTCTCTGCAGTTTAAAACTGCGCCAAGCCACAGGACACCAAATAGCTTCTTCAGCATCTTGGAGCTTTGTTTCAGTGAGCCCCAAAATAATATATCCGGCTTGTGTATGATGTCCCCTATTAGCAAAAGCTGCGTCACTATGACAAACAACAGTGAGGTTTTTCGGCTCAATGGGTTTGAAAGTGATACCTATTTGGCTATGCTGTTTGGCTCGTCGAATGGCTTGGTTAGCCATGCGGAAATCTTCGATCTTTGGCTTTGGAAAAGCCTGCTGTGATAGACTCGTCTGAACACTCAGGTCTGGACGAGATTGAGATGACAGCCAGTTTAAGCTACCATTCACTGCCCTCAAGACTTTGATTTGACTCTCCACTAGGGGATCTTCTGAGTTGGCATTCTTTGGTACATTGATGGGTCGAATCTTTTCAGCAAACTTGTTCATGTCCATACGAATTGAACCATCAGGTTTCTGAGAATACCAAGCGCCACAAAATTCACCACTTTTGATTCTCCATTTACGATATGGAAACCTGTTCTTGAGTTTGGTGATGCTTTCATTGAACAGTGGTCCCCATCCCCCAACTGCGGTGTCGTCCACAATGCACTCCCATCACCCCAGCGAGAGAACCGTCACAGTTCCTGAGGGTAAACAAGCAAGGATCGAGAACACTTTGCTGCCAATTGAGGTCCTTAACGAACGTGCTGAATTCTCTGAACCATGCTGCGGGAGCGTCGTTCTGTCCGTACACGTTTCCAAGGACTTCAATCTCGGCGTCTGCCGGAACTCCTGGGATGCCCCCAGGTGGCTGTCTGGCGAACAACGGTCGAAAGGCTTGGTCGAGAGGACCTGCCTCTAGAAATGCTCCTTTAATATCTCCTAGCTGTAAATCCCACTGATTGGACGAAATGGTTTGCATGAGGCACATACGTCCAAGTTGACTTAAGGTAGGGGATTTGAGCATTCCCTTTTCGGCCTTGGCAGACAAATCCGGATCCAGGTGCCCCTGAAGGCACCATCGGCCTTTGACAGTGAACGTGGACACGTCTTGGGGATCAACTTCTAAGCCCTCCTCGAGTGGTTTGCGAGTCAACACGAAACGGCTCCCGATAAAACGGTCAGGGTGATCCTTTTCTATTCGCTTGGCCTCCTTTCCATAATGAATTTTAACTGCATGAGGTTTCGAACAAATCGTGTCCCATTCAACTTTCTTTCCTAGCTGGACCTCGGTCTGCACCTCTGGGGGATTATTGCTATGATGCAATTCCTTAGACATTTTCTTCTTGATATATTCACTCATGAGACATTCCCAGGACTCATTGAAGGCAGACTCTAGGTCGGAAACATCCTGCACACTCAGCGCTTCAGAGGCCTCCGGACGATGAGCTGCTGATTCTTCGGCATGTGGTGATGCAGGTCGTTTGTTCTGATTCATGCATGCGTCCTCAACAAGTTGTGGGACCACCTCTTTCATTATCTCTACGAAGTCTTCTTGTCTCAACGCAGGAGGTCTCCAAAGCGCCATAGGGCCATCCTTGTGACCCACTCGGCGTCGCACGGGACCATAGGTCGACTCGGCAGGGACTGCAGGTCTAGAATCGGTCGAATCGGCACTCTCTGCAGACTCTGGCCGGGTTTCCACCTCCGGAGGTGAGGGAACGGGCGGCACGGACTCTGACCCAGATCCACGACTCGATGATTCAGCTTGTTCAACTAGAACTGCAGGTGGATGGCTTTCTTCGGGCTTACCTACTTGTTCGGGAGATTCAGCAGACCCTGGGGGTTCTGTGGGACCCTCTTGTGGAGGATATGACTGTGGAAGAAGATCGATGTACTGCTTACTACGAAGGTTGCCTTGTTCTAGCATGTCTTTGATCCCTAACAACTCTACTTGGGGAGACGCCAACAGACACTTTTCCTCATTGGTAGCTGGCCTGACCTGTTCAGGAGCACAGCGAATCACCTGTCGGCGATGCAGCAGCACTAAGTTCCTGCCCACATGTCCTAACACAATTGCCACCCCATACCATTGCCCCCCTTGTTGGAGCTGCCCTTGAATCCATTTTTGGTTTCTCCAGTAGGCTACAAGGTCTCCTGCTGTAAACTGATGGGCAGTTCTTGGACGGGCGAGCAAGGCAACACGCATGGCTTTATCGTCCTGCATCTGTACCAATGCTGCTCTTGCTGACGTACGCATGGCTTGCGTTCGGGCAATGGCTTCATCTGAAAGTGAAGCGGTGGCCGGCACGATCATGAGGGGCTCACTCAGCAAGTCCGTGGGGATATGAGTATTTCTTCCAAACACAAATTGGTAAGGCGAGTACCCATGTACCTGGATATGTTGGTTTTTGACATGTGCATGAGTAACACATTCTAACCACTCTTCTTTGGTACTAGGTGAGAACTCATCGATTAGCTTCTCTAACAATCGATTGAACCATCCCCCATGTGTCTCACACTTGCCAAGTTGCCAATGCGCTCCGGCTGCTATCGTACGAATTTCAGTGCCTTCAAGCTCAGCTGGAACCACCATTGGATCCCCAAGATTGGTTTTGGCTGGATCGAGCACTATCTCGGTTGGACTTCCGGCCCATGCACTCCAGTGCTCGGTGAACAGACGTCGAAGCACTGTGGCAGTCTCGGTCTAGAAGAACGGGATCATACGTTGAAAACTGCTCGCTGTGTCAACTATATTGAGTGCTTTGATCTTTTGGTTTGGCAGCCACCCTTTTAGATGCTTGACATCCAGTCCAATCTGCTGATTGAAGGCGGTCACGCGGCCGGTCTGGGCCGGTAGAGGCACTTTCGGCTTGAGTTGACTCTTGCAAAACTCACACGAAAACTCTTTGGCTAGTTTGAGAGCTTGCTCACTGGCTTGTCCATGACGCAAAATGCGGATGAGATCATGATTCGGTGGATGACCTAAATTACGATGGAGCTTATCAAGCACAGGAATCAGCTCTCGATCAGATTTGGCCTCGACCTGACCTACTGCCAGCACTTCAGACCACATGGTTTCAGGGCATTGATCTTCTAGAATCTCTACCGGTCCAACATGCTCAACACAAGAACATGGGTGAATTTTGGACTGTGGCGAATGACCCTGGTATTGTTCTACAGTGGACAAGACTGCCTCTACAAACTGAGGGGGATACGCTCCTGCAAAGGTGCTGATGCTTGGGACCCCGGATGCACCACCGGCGATAACATCATGACACTCGTGTTCACCTGTGTGTGGGCATGTCAGGCCAAGACACTGCATGTCAGCGTGTGATACGAGCAATCGGGTGCTCTTGCGGATCAGTCTCTCACTATGTGGAAGCTTCATGCCATACCTGCACATGTGGAGTTTGACTGTTTCGTATCGGCGGCACAACGACTGCACTTCCGTATAGGTCCATGTCTTAGCTCCGGTGGGATGTTCGAAGACAACTCGGCAACCAAGTTGGACTCCAAGTCGGAAGAGCTTACAACACCATCTAATGAAGCTCCTACTTATGGCCTTACGTCGAAGAACCTCCCATACATCCCACTTCTTACTATTGAGATGAAACCAGCCTCCTTCATCTGTGCAAGGAGGGCATAGCACTAGCAGGGATGGCGGATCATTGAGAAGGTCGTTTTCCACCTTCCTCCTGTCGGCGCTGGTGCGGAGATCGAAACCATTCTGCAAATCATAAGATCGAGCTCGAAATCCCTTTTTATCGGCGACGAGAGAAAAACGAGGTGGCGAGAACACTTCCATGACCAAGCATTTGTCCCTGGGATGAACCTGATGAACCGCCAAACATGTCTTGATTTGTGAGTTCAATTGTCGTGCTTGATGTGCCGACGGCTGCCACTGACTCTCTTCAGTGGGGGGAGTCCCAACGAACGAAAACTCGACACGGACGGACGGCACACGATTGAACAATCGAACAATGGTCTTATGTTGAGGCGTTCCAGGATGTATCTTGGTATCATCTAAGACTTGGTTGGTTTCCCCATGAAAGACCCGCCTACGAATCACTTGCTTCCACTTCGGCCCGGACTTGGAAAGCCAGGGAGTGGCAACGACATCACAATGCTCCTGCGTCCAAACATTGATGGAAGCAGCTTCACTGGCATCGGAAGGTGCGAGCTGATCGTCCTTCGACACTAGCTCGACCGGCGGTGAGTCTAAGTCTGGTGCGGTCTCTAGAGCCATAACCTCAGTGAACACGGCTGCGGTCGTCTCTTTGGTCAAAGCAAAGGAGCGACCAACGGGATCACATACTGACCAGCTGCATTAGTCTTCAGCGGGATGCTCTTGCAAAAAACATTCAACTCATCTCGTTGAAAATCTAACACCGCACCCAAGGCTTTCAATGCAGAGCGACTCAACAAGAGAGGCGCGTCTCCCTGAATCACAGCAGCCTTCACGACCCCTCGCTTGTTTGCCAGGGTCACCGGCATTTGCACTGACTGACGTGATGTCTCAATGTTGCCATTTCCGAATTTGAACTGATGAACTTCTTCCAGCCAAGGGGGAATGGACCAACCAAGCTGTTTCCACATGGATTCAAAACTGCGGAGGGTGGAAAGTCCAAAGATTGTTCGACCACAACCGGAATCGATCACGCCCATGCCTGGTGAAGACACGAGCAACACTTCAGTTCCTGAGTCAATGGGGGCAAGATCTGGCTTTGAGCAAGCCTGCACAAACCGAGAACGGACTCTGTCCAACAACGTGGGAGTGGTCATCACGGAGGCCACAAAGTCCAGCTCTTCCACGATGGCTGCTCCAGAAGCAGATGGACCTGATGAAGAGACACCCTTGTCACCTCCTTTGCCTTGGCCCTTCTTGACATCTTTGGAGCGGCACTCACGAGCCCAGTGACCTCGACGGCCACACTTGTTGCATGTCGTATGACGTTTCATCTCTTCGACTTCAACTCTGAAAGCACGCTTGACGTCCTTAGATTTCTGGAACTGTCGAGTCTTCTGAAGTCGGTTCAACTCCTGTCGTCTCTCTTTCCAAGACGCGGCAAGCACCTCAGCGACCTCGGACTCCTGGTATAGGTGTCAACATCAGCCACCCAGTCGGAAGCCTGGTGTTCTTCCAGCAAATGCTCAACATCTGAGAACTCTTCTTCCCAGTGCTCCTGTGTCCCAGGAGCGTCCTCTTCCAACTCTTCAGCTAGGGCCACGGCTGTTCGCCGTTTGCTGATGATCAGATCTGGATAGCATGATCTCAAGGCGGCAGCGACAGATTCTCTTTTGAGATCTCCACGAGCTCTGGCAATGACAACAGCCTTCTGCTCTTCTGACAAGCCTGCTCGATGCAGCAGTAACCACCCCCTGGCTTCGTCAGGGAATTGCACTCCAGTCTTTCGATGACATTTGTCAAACAGTTCAGAGGCTCGAGCTGTCCACTGCTTCATGCTTTCGCCTTCCAATGAACGAAGGCCAAACACCTGACCTAATATTTCTCCGAGTTCGTCGACGACTTCCAGCTGAGGAAAACGCTTGTCCAACAATGTCCACAATACCTGATCACCATCTTTCTTCTGGTACTGATCAGGTTCTAAATGCTCAACGGCCTCTATAGGGCCTTGCCATGTAACAGGGTGTAGATGTATGCTCCCCTCGATGACTCTGGTAGCTTATCTAGTGTCAAAAGCTTGTTCTTGACCCATGTTTTCCAGCGTTTGTATTCCCGGCCATCCTCATTCTCTCCTGAGAAAGTGCGCACGGCTGCAGCTTCCGACGAAGAGGCACTCGCGGAAGCTGCCATGTCACGGGTGAAGATCCTCGCCTGAGGATCACGCCATGGCGCGGGAGCCCGGAAAAATCCGGGCTCCGCTACCAATTGCGGAGATCCTGCCCTCCCCTGAGGGCAACAAACGGGCGCTTCTTTTCCTTGAGGCGAAGTTCCCTGCGGTCACCGGTGGACGTCAAGATATATATATATTGATTTATCTATTTATTAAGGCGGGAAGCATCATCCCCTGTCAGGGAACACCCTTTGTTGTTGTGGTTCCTGAAGTGTTTGGTGTGGATACACCCCCCTTCTTACTGGTAACATCTGTTAGACTGGTACGAGAGAGAGAGAGAGAGAGAGAGAGATGGCATTGAAGAGAGACTCGTATACACTGGCAGAAACCCAAGGGTGCCGTGATTGTTGGTGCCAAAATACAAAGCACCTCTATGAGGCATCTAGATACCAACCATGAAGTGCCCTTTTGGCGAGCTCATCTTGTGGTCGCAACCGTGACCATCAAACTATGTGCGGGCGCCCAATGAAACAAACATGCTGTGAGGTTTTCGGAATCGCTGAAACTGTCTTAATGGCACAACGCCAAGAACAACAAGTCACAGTCCTCCATCCCAGCCATCCTTTTTCCATCACACAGCCAGCAATGACACCGGAAAATGGACATTTCAAGGGTCTCGCCCCCTCCAATGTCATTTTTCAGGGGGGTAGGGATCTCCAAGCAAAAACACTATGACCACCTCCAAGCACCAAGTGGCCGGGCCCGTGGACCTCGGAGACGATCACCTGAGGTGCCGAAAAGGACCACAGCACGGTCACAAGGACCAGGGTATCTCCCCCTATGGATCCACATACCGAACCTGAGAAGGTGAGGACGGAGACTATTTATGTAGGCTTGGAGGGTCCAAGCCTAGCTTCTGAGAAGGTATGTGGATCCATAGGGTCCCCAGCACCCTGGGCCCAGTGGATGATGATGGGGACCAGCAAGCAAAGGCCTATCTCCCTAAGGCTCCAGTCGAGAGGGTGTTTGTGGTGGGTTAGGTGGGTTTGGAGGGCCCAAATGCCCTCTGAGGAGGTACTTGGAGCCCTAGGGTCTCTAACATACTGATGTTCTTGTTTGACACCGCCAGCTGAATCGCATGTTGAATCCAACACCTGCCAGCACCTGCTCCTGAGAAAAAGGCACATGTCACAAAGCCAGGAAGAACCATGCGGGCTTTTTGATCAAAGGGGCCGGTGGAAGTGAAGAAAGAATCATCCCTGCAAAAGGCTGATGGCTTTGTGATCAAATAGTCGTCTACTGACTACTTTGTATGTGGGGTGTCCCTCATTAACTGACCAAACATCTGGAAGACTTCCACCCAAACAAACAAACCCTCCACCGAGCAAAGTCCTTGCAACTTGCAAGTGACCCAATCTCCATTTCGCCAGGTACGGTGATGCGTGCTACCTCGCACAAAGTGCTTCTCAATCTCGGCAACTCTTGCATCATCCATGAAGTAAAACAACGGCTGCGCGTGCGAAAGCTGTCACTGCTCAAAGCTGCTTGGGCCACAAATGCTTGGGCCCATTCATACATGAACGTCTCGTCAAAGCGTCCTGGACATCCCCTGTCCCCGACGATCCTCCAACTCTTTGGACTTTAGACCCCCAAGCTGAGGACGGCTTAGACCCCCGACATCGCAAAATACAAACGATGTTGGACTGTTTCTCTAACCCTATGGATCCACATATCTTGTGAGAAGGTGATTGGAGACTATTTATGTAGGCTTGGAGGGTCCAATTAGCTTCTGAGAAGGTATGTGGATCCATAGGGTAAGTGATTGGGACAGTATCAATTTCTGTTTAGGACCTCGGAAGCGCCAGCTGCTCACTGCCCACCCACTGCGATTGACGTGTGCGTCTCTCGCATGGAACTGTGCCAATATTTCCAACATGCTTCCGGACATTTCAGGGCCTACTATGCATGTTTCCCTGACATCTGCTGAGACCCTGTCTCCAGCTGTGGAAGTGCAAAGCTAGCAAAGCAAAAGTATCACAGCAGGCAGTGGCCACAGCAGTGCGGACGGGTCGAAGTCGGCATGACCGACCACCTCAGAAGGTACTTGGACCCTCCAAACCTACATAATAGTGTCTCCAATCACCTTCTGAGAAGGTACGACTGGATCCCCAAAACCTTAGGGTATATAAACCCCCCTTCATGACACACCTCTAGCGGGCCAAGTCGAAGCCGAGAACCGCTTTGCAGTGGTTGCAATGGCCTTCAAATCCTTTTAATGCTGGTGGCAGAAGCCAGGCAACAGAATCCACCCTCTCCTACTTTTATGGTGTGGTTGGAGGGTCTTACATGGCCCTTCTTTCGGCTCTTTTCTCTTCTGCTCGCAGCTCATCTTGCCTCAGCGAGGCCGAAGTCAGGACAACACAAGATCGCCAGCACTTTTGCCATGGCCCACGTAAAAGCATTGTAAGCCAAAAAGGCTTTCGCCCTCGGCCCTCGATGCCTTGTGGGTCACCCTCGCACTTTAGAGAGCCCGTGCTTATGCACAATATACTGGTCACACTTGGAGCTACCTGTCACTTGCGCAGGGGAATAAGGGCTGGCAGAAGACCAGAGCCCCTTCCACGTGAAAAATAATTGCTGGAGCATAGCATCGTTGTACCAGCGCATAGTCTGACCCCCCTCAACCACCAAAAGTAGGAAATTGACAAACACGATAGAACCTATACAATAAGGCTCCTAGCCGAAAAAACTTCGCCGGGAGAAAGTAAACGTATTGATCATTGTTTGCACAGGAATGCCAGCATCTTGAGTGTTATTTGACCCACTGGCCTATCCTCACAATGCATACCGGGGGTGTACACTCAGCGACCCTGTGTAGGTGTTCATGTTCCAATTCAAACGGCATCCAGCTGAGCTTCCCACATGCAACAAACACCCCGTTGTTGCCTGAATGGATCTGAATGGTGCGGCTTCAAACTCCCAATCTGCCCAGCACATGGCGGCTGGGCACTGTGGAATCATTGACCACTCTGGAACACCCAGAACAACCTGCTCGCAAAGGTCGTTGCGCATGCCATATCAGTTGGTACAGTGCTGCGTCATTGCAGGTGTTCTTTTTTTTTAAACGAAGAACGCGCTCATTCCCACATTTGACGACTCAAAGTCCAAAAACAGCATGTCACCATATCAGGACTACCTCAGGACCTCGTTCATCGTAATTCACTGGTGAACATCCCGGTGGATATGACCCTCCACTTTTTGGGAACACGACCCTTTGAACTGAAGTGGAGCCTGTCACACACACGCTGCCTGCGAGCCAACCACTCCTGCGGAGGCCGAGGGGCAACTCCTCGGAGGCATGGCACAGGACCTGGTGACCGCCGCAGCGCAGGGCCGCCAGCACCAAGGGCCGATCGTTCCTGAAGAAATGCGAAATGAACCAAGGGCCGATCGGTTTACGGCACGGTGGCGAATTCCTGCAGAAGAGTTGTACTGCAAGATTTTGTAAATGACTGATCAACTCAGTCCTGTAATTCTCTATGTGGTTATAGTTGGAGATACATACACACCGAACTGCTCCTGCAAACGGCAGAAGGAATGGATCGATCATTGAGTTCTTAGGAATCTGAGCGACAAAGTTGTCGAGTCGTCGAGGTGAAGAAAAGGAGCTTTCACAGCCAAAGGACAGGTATATTACCCGTGCAGCTAGCATATCCATCTGGCCATGGGCTGCAGGCGCTGCAGGCGAGTCTTTTTCGCATCTGACTTCTTGTGGCTCTTGGTGCCCAGTGAGTGCCCACTCTAAGGAGTATAGTGAGGTCCGGTCCTAAAGGCAAAGCTGACTGATTCGACCATCCATATCAGCGGCCGGCCGGCCGAAGGTGGCTCCTACTCACTGGGTTCAAAAGATCTGTGAAACACGCCCGGCTCACGCATCCACGCCCAAAGCCTGAAGACGACCCATCTGATGGTGTGGTCTGATGGTGTCTGGACTAACAAGCACCCCAAGTTGAAAGCACCATGTGGACATGGGATGACATGGGTGTCTTCCATTGCGGGCATCCTATATAATCCAGTTCTTTTCTCCCACCAACCGGGGGGCCGGTTCGCTTCAGGACGCTCTTCCGTGTGCTTCGCATGGTGTTGTGGCATGCTGGAAAGCATGCCATCGTTGTGTTCCGATATGCAACCTAGAGCAGCGATTCAAACTTTAATCAACTGATTGCTCGGAGGGTGAAGGAAAACCACGAGACTAGGGAGTCCACATCAGGCCAGGTGGACAAGGTCAGGGAACCTAGAGGTAGAGGGAGGCCTCATGCAAATGCCAAGCCTTTTTACTGCTGCACCTGTCTTTGCCATTTCATGTGCACCGGCATGTGTGTAGTGGAAAATTGTCTTCCAGGGGTTCTGTCTGTCTATCTTCTGCTCAATTGTATTCTCTTGTGGCATCACCTGACTCACAACTGCATGAGTTATATTGGCCCTCCTATTGTAGCTTGCTCCCAAGCGACGCTGATGGTAAAGGAGCCCTTCCCAGAGCTTCTCCTCAAAAGCTGGACCTGGCAGGCTTTGACATGGGTCTGTATCAGTGTATCTAAAAATACGGAGACCTCCCAAAGGCCCCCTGGAAAAAGGAGCATTGACTCAAACCCAGTGCGTGGGGGTCCCCTCTTGAAATGCACACCCACATCTAGTACAGTATATAAAGTTAAGGTTGCTGACCAGTGCTGAACCGCGGTGAACCCTTCAATTCTGTGAACATGGGCCAAGTCTCACGGCCGGGCAACACGGAAGAATATACGTTCAATCTCTGAAAGACCGGCGGTCCTAGGGTGACAAAATCCCCTGAACAGCTCATGAGCACTTTTTAGAGGAAGGAACATGTTATGTCAAATATGTGGATCGTTGGTTGGCATGTGTTGGCACGTTTCAGGTCCATATTGTGCATGTGACTTTTGCCAAACAATACTTGAGAGATAGACATCCGATGCTTGAGAGATACAAAGAGATCAACTCCTAATAGAGTTTCTCACATGCAGAGTTACATGCCTGCTTGGGTATCAACTCCCCATATATCAACTCCAAAGAGATACATGCCTGCTTGGGTATCAAAGATCCTCTCACTATATCCCAAACACTCCACGGGACTGCCATAGGACTGCCGCCCCATTGACCCCTCTGGCACCACCCCTGGCCGTTTCTCGGCATATATGGCAGTCCCATGTGTCGTGTCTGGGTATGGAACGGTCAAAGCCAGAAGACTTGGCCTACTTGGAAGGTCAAGCAGCTACTTACAGGGTGGACGACCAGGCCAGGGCTCCAGGTTTGGACCAATCCCCAGTTCTGATTGTGGCGAGGACAGCTAAACGACGTCAACAACAGAAACACCAGTTCTGGTGGAGGTGGCTCCTCCAGTTCCGAAGTTCCGCTTCTTGCCGCTGCGGAGCCGAGTCAAACAGACTGAGACAAACACACAACACACAGCACACCAAGATTTGTAATGTGGTTTTGCTTCATGTTTGTTTATTTTTTGTGATCCGCGTGACTTGCAGGAGGAACCAAAGCCACGCGCCAGACCTTACCAGAACTGTTTACCAAGGTTGGCGGATGCTGAGGGTCTTCTGAGGTCTCCATCCCTCAAAAAACACGGTGATACGCATCACCCCGCTTTTGCATGAAGCACATGCTTGTATCTGGGTGATATGTCCTGGGTCATGAGCCCCACTTCATCACCCCACCGTTTTTGGGATAACAACCATTTGATGCGCCAAGCACCTCATTTGACGATATAGCAAGTCTTGAAACACCTCCCCGGCCGCTCTGAACGGCTCGGCGTGGTCGTTTTCTTCCGCCTCGCCGAGCGTGGAGTCGCTGTCGGCGACGGGCTCCTGGGCGGTGCCAGGGGCGGGGCGATCGCCATGGGGTGCCTCAGGAGGGGGGTCGATGTAGGCATATGTATGGGGTACTTGTTGGGGCGTATCCTGACACATACTGTAGATGAGGTCTCATCTAAAACTCCTGAGCAGAAAGAATTCCTCAACTACATCCTCCTCCAATAACTTGTGACAAAAGCAAGAACGACAGTGTGAAGCAAAAAGCCACGACCCTATGGGTCACCTGTCATCCATCTATTATATAATTACCATTCACTACCTGCTGCTGAAACCACCATAAACTTCTCCCTCTCTCCCTCTCTCTCCCGCCATCTTCACTGAACTTTCCACCGAGGTGTCAACCATGCCCTCACCGTTACGGCCGTTGGACCACCAGCAAGTATACAGTAGGTCGAATGAGCCACTTTGGACCACCAGTAAATACTAGTAATACTACTAGTAATTAGGTCAAAACGCTTATTATCAAGACATATCAAGACTGTTCCAAGGAGGGGAGATGCACTTTCCCATCATTTTGGGGTTCAACCACCCCTCTTCACTTCCTCTTCGGCGCCCCCCCGGCCCCTGGCCGCCTTCTTCCGCGCCCCCACGTGGAGCGCCACGAAGCCCTGCGACGGGACCTTCAAGGCCGTCCGTCCATCGGAGCCCACCTGGCCACGCCGACGCGCGCGCGACGCGTGGCGTGCGCGTGGGGTCGAGACAGGAGGGGCGGTATATGTGCAGCTCGGTGGTTGCAGACCCGAACCTGATGGCATGGACATGCATTGGAACAGACTGGAAGACAATGTTTTCCTATGATGCAACCCAGTCAGTGGTTTCCAGGTTTCCATGGCATGTTTTTCCAGAGTGTACTAGGTCCTAGGTCTGATGTGTCACTTGGAAAAAGTGAAGGAGAAGGTCCAAGTTCCTTCAAGTTCGGACGTCATGTAACTTAAGAGGTACCGGTGTTGAGTGGCATCCCAGGTACCTCAGTGTTTAACCAGAAAGGTCCGTTCGGCTCCGTTTCACCTGGTTGTGTTCTCGGATAACACTTGTCCCCTGACTGACGGTAGGGCCTTGAGAGAGATGCCCCAAGGCTGAGAAGCAGGAGCTGGTGGAGCTTGGTTTCACTGGGCTTGGTTTCACTGCGCTCCTAAACTCTAGGAGTCAAAAGGATTTCTGAGGAACGTAAGGTTCAAATGTCTCACAAAGCTCGGTTCTCAGTTGAGTGATGAATTCTGTGGAACCCACATGAATCCACACTCAAAAAGCCCAAGAAGGGTGTATCCCCATCACTGATCCTAAACTGAAAACGTCCTAGGAAAACCAGTAGATTCTTCACTGATCTGATCTACTGTATGCCAACTTCTTCCAGGTCCGCCCGCCTCACTGAAATTCTACGTGTCTTCACTTCGCCAATTGCAGCGCAAACATATTTTCGCCCCTACCACCATGCGAAGTCGCAACGAATGGGCCTTCACCAAGGGGCAACCAATAGCATCGGACTTGGCCACGTCGCAATATTCTCCTCACGCATGTGCCAGTATGCCGGTGCTTCCGGCTATTTCGGGTGTCAGATGCCGCCACCAGCAGGCTTGGAGGTTGCTCATTATTTGTTTCCACCGTACAGTGCTTACTACTACCAAATCATAAGGAATAGCAGCCGTCTGAACAAAAAATGGCAGCCGTCATGGTCTCTTACTACTACCGAGTGTGGTTCTTCAGTGCTCGGACCTTCTCGTCTCGTTCGTGCGGTGCTGCTCCTGGTGCTAAAGGGAAGGTCAATTCCACGTCCCAGTCGTCCGACTCCTGCCGATTGAAGGCCACACAGGCCACTTCACCTGGCCGCGGCAAGAGCTTCTCTTCGCTGAGCGAAACGGCGTGGGTTCCACGGCGTGGTGGTTTTTCGAGGTGAGCGTCCGAAGGGTCCCTGGTGGAAGGTGGAAGAAGGAACCAGTGATGGGAACTGGGAACTTAAGAAGAAACATGAAGTTTGAACAGCAAGGACATGCGTGGATCATCCGAAAACATGTTCGACATCCCACATCCCATCTTTTTCTGCACCCTCATGTTTGATCGTAGGCCCTTTCTCTGCGGGCTGGCTCAAAAAGGCCAAGTACTGCTCAACGAGCAACATGTCATGAAGTGTCTCGTCTTCTCCGCCCTCCAAAAGGCGCAGAAAAACGTCCTCTTTAGGGGCCAAGTCCTTGATCACCGGTGATCCGGTATATAGCTGCGTCAGCGTGCCCCGGTGCCCCACCTCGGCAAAAGGAGATGGTGTCCTCCCCAAGGGCCGTGAAGTGGGTGATAGGCAGTTCGGCGCTGATCTTGCGCCAGGCCACCATGTTGGCGATGCCCACCCACCTGAACATGGACAGCTGAAAGGCACTGAAAAGGCACGAGGGCAACTGGATACCCCTGGTGAGCCACATTGGATCAAAGCCATCCCTCAGTCCAGACTGGGTGAGGCACAGGATTTGAGACATCTGGGGACCTGGGCACCCCGCACGTAGCGGAAATTCACCCATACTATGAAGATGGGATAACATGAGGGTAGGCATGAACATGCACATACATGCACTCCAGTCCACATCGTTGGCATGAACTCATGAACCCAACTTCTCCATGTCTCGCGTTTCTCGGCCCGACCGCGCCTGTGTTCACACACCCACGGCTGGAATTCTCCGCAGTGCACGTCGCTCTCGCTATGCACCGGCACACTGGGTGGGCCTCGGGTCTCAACGTGGGAAACCGAAATGGGAGACCGACCTGGAAGGAAAATAGAGCAACACCATCCACCCATTAGGTACCTCGTCTCCCTATTGAAATACGCACCCCTAATGAGCAACCCTACCAAAACGATGGCATTAGGAAGTGATGAGATGTCGATGCCGCTGTCCCATGTGGACTGGGTGGCGATGCTTGAGGGACACACTCTTCTTAGTCTCATCATGAGAATCATGACAAAGCTTTCAAGAAGTGAAGTGGTGCACTGCATAAAGAAAAGGCTGGCTCACTTTCAATAGGTGACATGTGCACGGAAGTGGTGGCGCGAACTCACATGTCAGCTGATCCATGTAAGACCGTTTAAGCTACAGTAATCATAATGAATGCTAATGAGCTCTATTTGGAGCTCTTGCTCTCTTGATGCAAACGGTTGCCCCTTCATGGAGTGATTATTCTTGCCAAGAAAGGGAGAGAAGATGTAGCTCCGCCCACCTTGCGCGCGCGCGCCGCGAGTGTTCCCCAACGGCGGCCTTGATCGTACTCTGTAAAATGAAAAGAGCTCATCACTTGCGGATATCCGTAAGGATGAGCCAACATGAAGGCGGTTGCCAATAAATACCTCAGTAATGCGCCGGTGACATGTCGGAACGAAAGTTGGAGTCGGAACAAGCAAGAAAACATGAAAATGTTTGGCATTGTAGGACGGCCGGGCTTGCATGTCTCTGTCTCTTTCCATCCTTTTGATTCCTTTTGGTAGCAAATCTCAGCACCAGCGTGATGAAAGTGTCAAGTGAACTGCCGACGCTCTTGCAAAAGCACTACAGTAAGAAGCACCAAATTGAGCACTGCAAGCAAGACACAATTTTCCGGATTTGTACGTGAGCTTTGCTGCATTGACATCCTGAATCCGCTCTTCTGAACCCGACCGTTTCCCCCACATCATGCTGTAGGCAAAATAGCCAACAACAAACAGAGTGACTAACAGATCTGATCTAACAGAGTGCCATCATGGACACATATGGACACATTCCTCTTCCGGTGGCCTGTTTTTGGATCAATTGAGCATCCTCACACGCCATGTGCTTAATTAACTTCTCAACAGGTGCTGGTCGAAAAAGCTGCAGCCCTGCCACACTGCCAGCCCTGCCTGAGATCTTTGAGTGTCATGGTTGTCAATGAAGACCACGGTCTTGCCCCCAGACAGAAGGCCCGATTGCCTGAGCGATGCTAAGAAACGTGTGAAACTGCCCATGATTCCACCGCAGTTTAGAGTGATAAGGAGCGAGTTCATCCTGTGGAGACTTAAGTTTGGGGAGATTTGTTCAAGCAGCAACCGATGATCGACCAACATGTGATCTTGGATGGTCTTTGACTGGTCCTTGCGGCATTCCACCAGACCTCTACAATGTCTCTACAAACCAACACCTATACCTGCGGAGTTTCTGCTTTTCTGCCACGGGGGAATCTGTGCGATGCCCAGTGGCCCAAAGGATTCCAAGGCAAACATCTGGCCGCTGTCTGCAATCATGGGATCCAACTGAAGGTAGTAGTTGAATTCGGTGACCTGAAACAACAAGGCAAATGGCAATGGCAGTTGAATCGGTCGCGTGATTCGTGCGACCCCGGAACACCAGGCTGAGGAATGTGAGCAACACCGCCGACAGAACTCAACTAAGTGGCATTGAAAGCTGGAAAAACAAAAAACAAACACCCAACACATCCACAAACATTGGAACTGACATGAACTAACTAACCCATGGCTCTGACCTTTGCTGGTTCCTTCGAAGTGAGAAAGGCTCCCGTCAGTGCAGCACGAGAGCTGTTATGACCCCAGCGATCCACAACCTGAGAACCAGGACATCTGCCCGAGCTTTCCTCAATGGCGCAGTCGTTTTCAGCAAGCCACGTCTGCCACATCCAAATAGAGGTCCTCTGAGACGACGTCCTAGGCGCTCTGCGGTCGCTGCGTTTCGAGTGGAGCCGGATGGAGCCGGATGCGCGACCGCCGTCACAAGCCCAGTGGTGACGCTCCAATCCTGGGAACTGACACAGGTCCCGGCCCAGGTCAACGAATCATCTAACCAGCTGAACATCACCGTCCGGCCCATGACGGGCACCGAAACCCAGCATGGATCAACAATTTGGATCCAAGGACGTGGGTTTGCATGGGCTCAAACATCCGTAGTCATAGTCCATAAGGCATCATAAAGCCACCAAATCATTGCCCAGTAGGGCGGAATAGGCTAAAATGGATATAGAGTGACCCCTACTGCATCTAAAACATATCGCAGCGATTTGCTGCTTACAACATCTTACAACCATATGGAACTGAAACGAGTGGACTTAGGATGACTTAGGAACTGGGGAACATTCAACTTGCGGAATGAGCCAAAAGGATTGCAGCTGGGATGAATTTGGCCCATGGGCCATGTCAAATTCGCACCTGTGTCGAAATAGCCCAACTCATCCAAAAGCACATAGCCTGTTCATCGACTCCAGTCCATTGATGTCCGGTACTTCATCGACTTCATCCGTTCGGCCAACAGGACGGGCAACACGGCCAACGACCCGACGGTCGACCCTCGCGCCCGACCCCGATGCTTCGGACTTTTGGGACGTGGCCGAGGGTCTCTGGTGCTTGCCTTGGAGACCTCGACGTATTTGAAGAGCGAGTCTCCACGCTTCCTGAGCTTTGTCTGGCGTCGCGGAAGCATCGTGCGCCACGAGACGAGACGGACGCCACTTGCTGGACGCGGGGGGAAGAGAACGACGTTCCACGACGAGGGAAGAGAACAACAGGTCGTGCGACATGTTGGAGATGTGGCGTCCAAGAGACCGGATTAAAATGATGACATGCAGTCTCTGGTGTGGAGAGAGCCTTGAAAAACAAGTGTTCAACGCCCGGGGCCGGCACTTCAACTTGTTTTCACATGAAACCGTGCATGCGTCTCTTCATGCCCAGTGATCGTTTGAGTCCAGTGGCCTAAAAAATGTCAGTAAATCTTGGGTCCAGAACCGCTTTGTCAAACAACGTACTTCCAGTCACATCAATTCAGCAACTCAGCTCATGACCGGTCTTTTTCTTGCCGATCCTCTCACCTGCGTGTTTTTTCCCTCTCGCGTGCTCCATACGGACCTGCATCTCCTCCAAGCGTCACTTTGGCAAAGATCTTCGCCAGGTCATCTCGTGGGATGTGCTTCGCAGCATCCAAGCGCACACCCGCCACGCCCAGTTCCACCAGGTGGCTCCTCAGCTCGGTGCGAGTGAAGATCCCTCGGTGGCTCGGTGGTCCTTATGAAAAGGGACCATAGAACCGGTAAGAACCAATAACACTCAGGTAGTTATGACATGTTGTGACATGTGATGACATCTTATGACATGCGCTCCTGAACCTGGGTCAAGGGGAACAATAATTTTTAGGGATCAGCCTGATATGCTGGCAATGGTGTTTTTCGTCATCGTACCATTCCTGCCAGGTGCTTGGGAAAACCTGTTCAACTGAAACACACACACACACACACATCCAGCAACCCCCCAAAAACACCTTAGCCTTAGACTCTTAGACAAAAAAACGCCAGTGACCTGCACTGGCATGGACATAGCCTTCCTGTTTGATGCCCTTCGGAATTCACCACGGAACCCGAGACCCCCTGCTGTGCTGGTCGTCCGGACGACCGCCCAGCCAGTTCGGAGATCCATTGGACTCGCCGGACGGATGAGTCCAGGACCTAAACACCTCCCCGAACGGCCCCGGCCACGGGTGGCAAAGTGAGATGGTTTAGGTTTGTGTAGATGGTTTCACCTGCAGTGTAAGTAGTACTGTAAGTAGTATATGCCACCTGATTTACGAAGCCTACCTTTGTTGTTCTACAAATGTCCACAAAGGACCTAAACATGCGCCCCTGAAGAAGAACATCTATAACTCATAGGTTGCCAACCTAAGGCCCTTGGTTCACTCAGCTGCGGGCCATCCAATATTGAACATTGCCTAAAGAATACATGTCTGCAAAGGATTGTGAAGATTATGAAGCCCCAAAAGAAGACTTAGGCAATAGAAATGAGTAGTATTATAGTATATAACATGAGTAGCGCACACCACCACTTCTCACCATGGCACAAGTAGGCCGCCATCTTGTCTTGCACAACCTCACAGTCTGTACAAAGGTCCTTAGATGAAGGTCTTGAAGTCTTGACACACTTATGGTATGTACCGCAAAGAAGTGGAACGTACCTCCAAACCGTACCTCCAAGTAGTGGAGAACCCACAGATCCAGCAGATGGAGGGCCCACGATTCGTTTGATGTTTCGGAAGGAAGGCTGCGCAGTGGTTCAACACCGCAGCCACCATGGTGTTGAACCACTGCAGGCCTCATCCGAGTACATCAAACAGTTATATATACACTTATACAGTTGTATTAGCCATTGTTGCCCTTCATCTTGTGCAATCACATGCAGTTATGCCAGAACATGACAAGAGTGCAAACGATATCCACATGGCTTCAGCAATGTAGACTCGTAATTATGATCAGGCCCCCAGGCCTGAAGATGTTTTGTCCAATCCAAATGCAGTGTTTTTATCAATCAAGAGTCTACATGTCCTTGTGCACACTTAAGTTTGATATAGCCAAACAAATGTCATCCGTTCATCTCAGTGACCGCTTCACGGACCGCCCAACCGAACCATCCCCAAAACAAGGGCGAGCACCGTCACCGTCACGAAAACGGCTTCGCTCCCACTCGACCCATCCGGGTCGAACGAGCCAATGCCGTGGTCCATGCGGTCCATGGCGGACGGATCCAAGCGGCTGGCAAGCCTTGGAGATCACAATATTGCACGTTGTGTATATCTGAAAAGTCGCTCACCCCACAGTTGCTGGTCAAGTCATTTCCTGCGATCGCGATCGAATCTCGATTGCGGATAGCAAAAAAGTGCCAGATCCTTTTGACCTCAAAACACGTGCAAAGCACTGGGCAACCCACTGTCAGTGAGAACGGGCCTATGAACACTATATATAGTCCATGATGCCAAATGCTTGGCTTCAAGGCGGGGTCTGAAACCATCACGATGAAACCATCGATGAAGAGGAAAGTCCCATCGATGTTCCCTCGGTGGAAACGATCTGCCCTGCCTTGCACGGAAGACCCGCTTTTCAGCATCAGCACCTCCAAAATTCCACCAGGACTGCCAAAGAAAGTTGGGGATGTCTGGGGGATGTGGTTTTCTTTCCTGCACCAAGGAGTTGGCTAATATAGCGCTTTCTGTGCGCATTGGTCACACCCTTTAATTGCTCAGTCCAACCCACCAGCCAAGGCTTCCACCTTTTTCAGCCAGAAACCCTGTTCCATGGATGATCTAGTTATGCTTGTGGCTACGGCTATGTTTGATCATTCCCACTTCCAACCAAACATGGTCCCCCAGACTTCCTAGCCAAAACATGCCAAACCCTGGACCACCCAGTCCCCGACATTTCATTCACCTATCATTATCATCCATCAACTTCCCAACCAAGCAGTAGTCAGTAATCATCCATCTCCCTCCCTCCCAACCTCCCGGTCTCCCCTCACAGTCCCCGGTCTCCACCTGTGTGGTGGAAATCTTTCGGCTCAAAGATGGGCGTCTTCCGGGGACCATAGCTGCTTCCCGTGATGGAGGTCCCGGTGGATGCCTCACAGGCGGGACCAGGGGGCGAGATATTTATATCTATCATTTGGGATATGTTGGGTGTATCCCATTTCCTGTACCAGTGGATGATGTTGCTTAGTAAAGGTCTTTCTTGAAAATCGTGTTTTTTTTCTTCATTGACTGTTACAGGTCATGGGACACACACTAATCATTTGTATATCTCAAACGCTCCACGTAAAGCAACAAAAAGACTGACATTCTCCACCTAAAACCACCAAATGCAGAACAAGGAAGAGACACCAGTTTGGGCAAATGGTGATTAGGCGAAGCTCACTAGAGTCCCCTATGTGTGGCATGTTCAATACAATAGCTTGAGCAAAGAAGTATAATGTATAAATACTAGCTAGTGTTACGAGTAACTCAATTGACAAAGACAGTAAAACGGGCCCAACAAATAGGTAAACTCATCATCACACTAGTCATCAGCATGGAGTCGACTTACACCCAGTTTCATCCTTGTGAACTTTCTTTGACCTCCGCCCAGCCATTTCTTGCGGTTGGATCAGGAGGAAGGCGACCCTTCCCTGCCCACCCCAAAACACAAAAGCTTTCGAAAAGCATAAACAAACATGACCAAAAAACACCTCCCATTCAACTACGGACTTCCTTCCTTCGGGTCAGGTGGCTGCGCAGTGGTTCAACACCGCATCCACATAGATCTTCACGCCCGCGCCGCGGCAGCGTTGCACCATTTGCGCGAATGCCTGCTCGTCTCCGGAGCGGCTCGTGAGGTTGTAGGTCACCGGCTGGTAGCGAGTCCACCAAGGCGTTCCCTGGATGTGTTCCTCAGAGAGTCCGTCCGGAGGGCGAAAAGGGGAGGAGCCGGTCCCGGTCCCTGTGTATCGTTTCGGGCCAGGAGGTCTAGGAAGGAGGTTCACTAAAGGTGTGACATGTTGAGAGTACAGAGTGATTTGAGTTTAGATGCTGCAAACTTGTAACTCTTGATGTCTCAGCCATGTAACTCTGCAAGTATCCGTTCCCTTCAAATCCAGCCGCTCTTAAAGTACCGACCTCGCTCCAAACACGGCACGGCCGGTCTTAATCAGCCGCCGGGTCTCGGCCGGTGGTGAGACCTGCACGGCATCAAAGCCCTTGGGGCCCAGCCAGTCCTCGCATTCTTTGGCGACATCTTCCCAGGACCACTCGAAAAGGTGCACAAAGACCTGCACAGCAGTGTCCAAATGATTTGTGTTTGTTTGTTTGGGGGGGAAGGGGGGTAAGTCGGAAGCTCAGAACAGGGAGCCGAAATGTTTTGTGGCAAAATGTGCTTTTCTTTGGTGGGATGATATATGTGCATTTTAGCACCTCATCTGATCCATAACCTATCTATCAGGGACATTTCTTAGAACCTAGGCCTACTTGTCTACACATATGATACTACATATGATTGCAAAATCATGGTCTCGGAGCCACATGTCAAACGTCCAGTATAGCATCAAGAACTGAAGGCACAACATGGCACAACTTAAGTAGCAGGAACGGTGTCCGTTGATCTTTCAACATCTCCCAGCCTCTTTGCGACCTGAATGGCTTCTGCGTCGCAGGGCCCATCCAGTGGACCAGAGAATCGTGAAGATATGGAGAGCCTTCATCCTGAATGCCAACAAAGGCACGGTCACCGACGCACCGGTTGGGGCCGGTGCAGCGATCGGTTGGATGAAGCTGATCGTCTTCTTAGGGCGATCCATTAGGGCACATGCCTAGCAGGCATTAACTCTGCCAGGGGGGGCATTGACCAACGAAATCTGCAGATTCTCTCACGGTTCAACTAGTCAAAAAGCAGGTAGAGCATGGTAGAGCATGTCGATGTAGCATTTCACCCTCCTGGCCTTGCAGCGCGTTTCTCCCATTTCGAGAGACACAAACATACCAAACATGAGCTGCACGGGAAGCCTCTTGCTTTCCAAAAGGAAGTCCCTTGCTTAAAACCAGTGGATAAGGTTCCCGGCCCAATACAATTGGAACAGTGAAACACGTATCAAAACCTCCGGGTGCAAACTCACTACTGCTGAGTTGTTCTAGTTGTTCCCATCTATTGCACCACGTACTACATATTTTTTGACCCTTCTATTGGCTACGGAGTGGTCCTGGCTCTTGCTGGCAAGCATCTCGCTATAGAATGGTCACAGGGTGTTGACCACTCTGAATGACCGTGCTCTGCTGAGCACGATGGGCTGCAAAGGGGTTCAATATCAGAAGCATGGGAGCCATGCCATTTGAGCAAAAGCTGCGTGGACCATGGACCCTTTTGAGTCGATTCTGAAGGTCCACTGACACCCTCCCCATGCTCCACTGACACCCTCCCCAGGCCCAGGAGAGCCATAGACTAAAGGTATACCTCAGATCTCTTCATTGGCCCTCTAGCAGCATGATCCAAATTTGCTTGATTGTCCTCAGCGGATGCAAACTCAGGAACAGGATCTTTGCAAGAAGCACCTGTCTTTGCAAAGGGTCTCAGTCTGCTCCTGGAAAATCGTATCTTATGGTGTGCCTGCTGCATGAGAAGCACTAAATACTTTGGACAACAACCAAGAAAACGCCAAGGTTGATCTAATCCAGCCTCCACCA